TATTTGACACCGGACTCACGTTAATTTCACACCCTGTATATACAGTGGTGAGCGATTGAATTAAGTATCTTGAGTAGGCGTGTGTGACATGAGTAGCACCCATTGTATAGGAATGGTAGTTGAGCAGGAGATGAAATTGTCCTTCAGTGGAGTGAAACCGGTGACCGCGTAACTGTTACTGAGTAATTATATTGTTACGTTCTTCATTTGCAGGACAAACTGCAGAAGTCCAAGGCTCTGATAATGCCAGTAAATTCAGGAAACTACCACTGGATACTTTAGGTATTACGTTTTAATAATAATAAAAAATAATTAGTAACCTAGATAGATTGGGAGGCATTTTAATTGCAAACGTGCTACATATGTAGTTTATCGTAAATGTATCCTTTATTTATGCCACTGTAGTTATACATATAGAGTATTTTATTTATTATCTTGCTATTTCTGAATTGCAGTAAATGCATGCGTTACACATATGTCGTGCTTTTATTTCTGCTATTTATTTTTATTTCATGCTTATTTTATGCTAGTATATATTTACTTCAGGGCATTTATACGTGGAAAATTGCTTGGAAAAGGGGCGTGGCGCATGGAGGATGTGAGGAGGCAGACAGAAGGATACATCATTATGTGGGATATTTATTTGCAAGGTGAGATAATCCACTTCTAATGCACCATTTGATAAAATCAAATAGATCAGTTACTTGGGGAACTGAAATTTAAGACGTATATACAGTGATATATATAGAGATAATGTTGAGATTTTGGGGGTGTGGGAAAAGTAGTGCACATCGACTACTTAAAGCCCTATAAAACGGAGCAACCACTGGAAGATTGGCGAGAACCCCCGAGGGAAGAGCAGAGGGAGCCCGCGGACCATGTCGAGGAAAGTGATGACGAGGGGGAGGAAATTCCGTGGGAGATATTATTTCAGGAACCAGCCCTAGAGGAGAAGGAAACGATGGAACAGGCCTATGAAGCAGATCTGGGACTGAGGCGGGGAACGAGAGCCCGTAAACCACCGCAGAGGATGGATTTGTAGGAAAGGGGGCCATTGTTTGTTTGTTTGGTCTATTTTGTTTTGTTTAGGTGACCGCCAGAGATCATCGACTCAACGCGGTGGATGTTCTTTTGTTTGCTTTGGTTGATTTTGGTCTGTTTACGTAGGGAGCCATGGAGCTGGAGTGGAGGCCGAGAAAAGGAGAGACGATTAGCAGAGGGGAGGAGAGTGAGAGCGGCCGGCAAGCTCGGCCGAGGAGGGCGACCAGGTGGGATCATTGGCCCAAGGAGATTAGCAGCGGGCGGCAAGCAGAGCGAGAGGCGGCGCGGGAGGCCAGGTTCCACCAGGCGAGGGCGGCGTGGT